ATTTATCCAATTGAGGCGTGGGAAATTGTGGGAAATTTTTTCAACAATATTTGCAGAGAGCTCTTCTTGTTCTTCTCCTACTGAAATGAAATTCACAACACTAAACGCGCAAGAAAGCAGATAGCTCAACATTTGTGGCCTGATATACAGCACTTACCACATTTTGCCGAAGGAGCTCGAGTTTATCACATTTGAGTTTGTTGACTTCTTGGGTCAAAGAGTCGATTTGCCGGAAAAGCTGCTCGATCTGCTCCGACCCGGGCGACGGGGGAGTGCCCTGGCGCTGGTTTTCGCGAGGGTTTCTCGCCATCCGCCTTCGACCACCGACACCGGCGCCATTGTTGGACACTGTCACGTCATCGTCGACGTCTTCCTCCTCCTCCACCAACACGTCATCTTCCCGTCCATTGGCCACCGTGTCCAGACACGCGGAGCACGTTGACACTGACCCGTTCTGATGGTGCAAGTGGTGCAGGGGGTGGTGGTGGTTGATGACGTGCGGTGGGTGCGGGGTTTCTCCGCTCGACATGCTTTCCATGCCGGTGTCGCTGTCGTCGTGTCGATAGCGCTCAAGTTCGACGCTGTTCAGCGACGACGAGTCCGACTCCGAAACTGCAACTCTGCGGGAAGAAAATCGGCCGTTTCAAAATTCCATTCCACATTACTTGTAAATTAATTTTTCTGAAATTTCAGCGAATTATTCAGCGATTTACTTATCTGAAAAACTGTATACAGGTGGACTCTCTCTCTCTCTCTACAACGATCTTGTCTATAGCGATTTTTCTCTGAATATTAAATGTTTTTTGATCGCATATAGAGTTCTCTACATCCCATGCTACAGTGATTCTTGTTCTGGTCCCTTGAATTTTGTTGCAGAGAGAATCCACCTGTGTTCTAATAATGCACGCGCAGAACAGCAGTAGAATAAACATTTTTTCAAATGCGTAAAAGTTATGTTCAGTCTGGTTTCTGTCTTCTTGAAAAATCCTTTTTTTTTTTTAAGCCTTCGCGGCGACTAACCCAAGCCAACCAAATAATTTTATCTCATTGTAAGAATATTCTACACAAGGAGTTCTGCTTTGTGTACAAATACTTCCAAGTTTTAGAACATATGCTGTTTTGGACAGGCTAAATCAGCGTTTCTCAACCTGATTTTCGATAAATTTGTTATGCTGAAGAAAATTTCCAGCGGACCGGCAAAAAATGTCTGCTGACCACAGGTTTGGTATAACACTGGTCATGCGCTCAAATATCTGCTAAAAAGTTTGATTTTTATGTCATTTTTATTATGTCATGCGCTCAAATATCTGCTAAAAAACTTGATTTTTTTAAAAATTCGTATCAATATCCATATTGGCGACATTGCCCAAGAAGATGTTCTCACCTCATGATTCCATTGC